CTCCTTTGCATAGACAGAACCTCCTTGAACATGCCAAAATACAGGTCAAGAAGATTGAGTCGTGCATGGTCGAGACTATTCTACGGTCTCCTCTTTCCCTCCAAACTCCTTTTAATATTTTTTATTTTTCATAATAAATACTTGGTCAAGCCAAAACCGCAGCACACCAAGATATATAACGTCATCCATTGCGTCAGAGGTGGGCCCATATACTTATACCCCACACGCTCTTGAAGACACTTATTTCACGCAAACCGAAACGCAATTTGCATATTTGGCCCTGTTTGATCCCATTACATTAAATTACATTACATTTTATTTTTTTCTCTTATTTTCAAGCACAAAATCTTTTATAAAATAATATTACACGTAAATTAAAAATTTTTACTTTTTTTTCAACCATTCATTTTTCAAAAAAATATTATTCCACCCATTTTTATTTCGAAAAATGGGGGTCAAACGGGGGCTTGATTAAGGAGATATTTGATTAATAAGTTTTTAAGAGCTCGTTTGGTAGTTATTTTCTTCAAAATGTATTTTTCTCTATTTTTTAACCACACATTCTTTATTAAAATAATATTACAAGTAAATAAAAAAAATTCTTATTTTTTAACCACACATTTCACATTAATTTACTATTCTAAAATATATTTTTACATAAAATGTCTATCAAACGCCCCCTTAACAATGAGCATGTGTCCAGTAGCAATTTTAATCAAGATTTTAAGTTTTTTTATATTTTATTTTACCGCTGACAGCAATGGGCCCATTTTGTACCTTTTTAGGTGAGAATTTATTGAGAAGGCAGTCAAAAAAGGGCAACAATGATCCCATGTACACTGGCAAAGATTAAAAAATTAATTAAAATTTTGTGAAAATAGTTCATAGGAAAAAATGAACAAAATTAATTATTGAAGAACGTGTTCGTTACACGCTAAAAAAGCGTGTGCAGATGTATTAGTCTACAGAGCAGGAGGGCATTCCCCCGGACCAGCAAAGGTTGATTTTTGCTGGCAAGCAGCTCGAGGATGGACGCACTCTCGCTGATTACAACATCCAGAAGGAGAGCACTCTTCACTTGGTGCTCAGGTTGAGGGGTGGAATGCAGATTTTTGTTAAGACTCTAACTGGGAAAACCATTACCCTTGAGGTGGAGAGTTCCGACACCATTGATAATGTTAAGGCCAAGATTCAGGATAAAGAGGGCATCCCACCAGACCAACAGAGGTTAATCTTCGCTGGCAAACAGCTTGAGGATGGCCGCACTCTTGCCGATTACAACATCCAGAAGGAAAGCACTCTCCACTTGGTGCTCAGGCTGAGGGGTGGAATGCAGATTTTCGTCAAGACCCTTACCGGGAAAACTATTACACTTGAGGTAGAGAGCTCCGACACTATTGATAATGTGAAAGCCAAGATCCAAGATAAGGAAGGCATCCCACCAGACCAACAGAGGCTTATCTTCGCTGGTAAACAGCTCGAGGATGGCCGTACTTTGGCCGATTATAATATTCAGAAGGAGTCCACTCTCCACTTGGTGTTGAGGCTTCGCGGTGGCATGCAGATTTTTGTCAAAACCCTTACTGGGAAGACAATTACCCTTGAAGTTGAGAGCTCCGACACTATTGATAACGTTAAAGCTAAAATCCAGGACAAGGAGGGTATCCCGCCGGACCAGCAGAGGCTGATCTTCGCTGGTAAGCAGCTTGAGGACGGCCGAACATTGGCAGACTATAATATTCAGAAGGAGTCAACTCTACACTTGGTCTTGAGGTTGAGGGGAGGCATGCAGATATTTGTGAAGACTCTTACTGGAAAAACCATCACTTTGGAGGTGGAAAGTTCAGATACAATCGACAACGTCAAAGCCAAGATTCAGGATAAGGAGGGTATCCCTCCGGACCAGCAAAGGTTGATCTTTGCTGGAAAGCAGCTGGAGGATGGAAGGACTCTTGCCGACTACAACATCCAGAAGGAGTCTACCCTTCACCTTGTCCTCCGTCTCCGTGGTGGCCTCTAAATGTTCTTCTACTGTAGTTCTGTGGGTATTTTACCTATGATTGTCTTTCTAATGAAGTCTGTGTGTCCTTTGGTTTTTAACCATCGTCTCTGTTGAGTCGTGGTTTCTAGTATGCAAATTTTCTTTGTATAAGTCCTGTTTGTGTCTGTCTTTAAAGTTTAAACGTTGATGTGATTTCCCATTAATAAATAAAGTTCAGTCTTGTGTGTCTCTCTTATTTCGTCTTGAATTAGTTTTTCATTTTGTTGTACTTTGTAGTAGTTTCATGGTAAATGCTCTTAATAGGACGCCAATCTGATTCTTGTGATAGTTTACGGTTAAAGATTTATATATCTATGGAGTTTCAAATAAAATCACAAGATTCCCAAGTCACAGACTTGAAAGTAAATATATTGCCGGACCACAACTAAATTCCCTGTGGTTTCTTTGTTTGATAGAAGGTGCAAAATATATAAATTTTTAATTTCTTCACGAGATTTTATATAGGAAAAGGGCCTAGTGGGTTGCATACAGTCTATTCTTGAAATGCAACAAAGTAGAAGAAGACACTAAAATAAAGGTGTCATTTTTAAATTTTTGTCTAGACACGATATGCTTTCTGCAAATGGAAAAGTGATTCATGGTTGATTCTAGTTTGTTAGTAAGCCCTTAAAATATAGATTTTAATTTAATTTAAAGTAAATAATTAATTATAATTACATATTTATGGAACTTATATTTTTTCAACAGCATATTTCATTTCATAAAAATTTAATCCTCATCAAGCAGGCTAAATTTCTAGGCAAGTCGAAGAATACTTGTGGGACTGAAGGTCTTTGAGTAGATCTTTCCACTCTTTTTGCAAGTTATGAAGGATTGTGATTGCTTTTGAATCGCCATGCACTCATATCGCAATTGGCAGAATTGGAACAGCCGAACAGCCATGAAATGCATTAGTTTTCTCGTTAGGATTAGGGGCGTAGAAATTTTTTATTAGGGGCACAATTAAACTTGCACAATCAAATATTTCGTTCTTGACTTTTAAATGATTTAATACTTGACCTGAAAAAATGCAAATTTACCTTTAAAAAATATTTTTTTCATTATTATGTTGCTCGTTGTTTTTATCTATTTGATTTCAAACAGTTATTTTATTAATATTTTGCTCATCCTAAGAAAATACATATTTATGTTTAAAAAATTCAGTAAATTTAATATAAACAATCAATTCAAGTGATCAAAAGGAAAAATACATGACCTCTATTCAAGCAAATAAATAAAATTCATTAAATATAAGTTAAATTGGATATAATCAGTTCAAATACATTCTATGTACACAGATAGGATAGGAGAAAATGTAAATTTATGTTCTAATTAATTGAAAATTTTATTGGAAAGTGAAAATTTGTAGTGGATGTAATAATTTGTAAAAAAAAAACTTATGGACAAATTTTAAAAATTAAATGGGTTAAAGTTTTGGTAAAATGTGTGAGGAAGAGAGTAAGATAGAGTAAGAGAAAAAATTCAAATTTATGGTGGGGGTTAAAATTGAATTTTTAGTATATTTTGATAAAAGTTAAAAAATTAAGGATTCTATGAAATATATTATTAAAATTAATTGTTAATTTTGATTTATATCAAATTTTAAATTTCGATACTAAATGGGATTTATTAAAAAAAAAAAAAAACTACAGAAGTTGGGGGATCACGTGATCCTATGACCCACTTGGGTCTGCCAGTGGCTAGGATATTGGTCTTACGTATACAGATATATTTCATTTTAAAAAATAAAAATTATCTCATCCAATGAAATATGCACCTTATGTAATAAAACAAGAATATTGCGTAGTTTATGAGATTGTGATTTCCTTGTCAAAATCGACCTGGTGACGTTAACCCAAGATGACTATTTTCAATGCGTGAAAAAGTAGTTTATTTTAAAGTTTGAACATATCAAGAAACACTATTATACTATATTTAGCCCCCGTTTAAGCACCATTATTTCTCACTATAACGTTCGGAATAGTATTTTATTTGAAAAATGAATGGTTGAAAAGTTTTTGATTTACGTGTAATATTATTTTATTGAAGATTGCATGATTAAAAGTAGGAGAGAGAAAAATTTTAATTTAATGTAATGAGAAATAATGGGGCTCAAACTCTTTTACCATTAGCTAGTCATAGTAAGACATTTTTTTCATTAGACGATCATCTTTTTTATAGGTAAGTGACTACTTAGTTGGATGTGAAAGTTGAGGATTCAATGCATAAGGTATCTTAATTTATGTCTAAAGAAGGAAAATCAAGTTCGACGAAAATATTTTATTTTCCTCTTACATTTTAAGATGGGAAAACTTTAGTCTACATCCATATATAGGTTGGTCAGTCAGTCATACATGCATGTCGTGTTAATTAAGCATTGTGATTCAAAAAGTGGAAGCCGAACATTCAATGAACGATAGTATCTAATCTTTATTTCACATCTTTAGAAGGAAAATTGATAACAATGAAAATACTTTAATTTTTTCTCACGTCTTATAGAGGATAAAGGGATAACAACGAAAATACTTTATTTTTTTCTCATGTCTCATAAAGAATAAAGTGATTGAATTCGTCTAGAGTCTAGATTCAACCTATATCAATACATAGGTTGGTCTGTCATATCGACATGCCGTGTTAATTATTAATTAAGGACCACAATTCATGAAAATAGATCCAATTGATCATTTGTTATTGAAAAAAACAAAAACAAAAAAAACAGAGAAGCTATAAAAGGCAAAATATTTTGAATTGATCCAATCCATATCCACACACACTGCGACGTGAACGTAATAATTTAGCCACGTTGGCTGTAGGCCTGGCGCTTCGTCGTAAAACATACGCAGAGTATCTATTGTCTACTTCCGTAAAAAATAAATCCCGCGTACACCCGCTCTGGATCATCGCCACGTACCCTCCTCAATTATCCACAATCCATATTAGAAAACCCTAATCTCGATTCTTTATAACCTCAATTTGAACGCTTGGGATCTTTCTTTTCTACCCAAGCACTGACTTCTGTCAATCTCTGCTCGGGGCTTCTCCGAATTTGGGGTTCGGTTCTTTAATTGCATACCTCAATTTCTTGCCAAACCCTGGTCTTCGGATCAAGTAAGTGCTAGATCCCAGTTGCTCTTTTTAATTGGACGATCCTTTCAGATCCGATTCGATTACTGCACGGTGGTTTTATCTGATGGTGTTGGTTTTTCCTTTTTGACTTTGTTTTGTGCATTTTGATTGTTTGTTTGGGATTAATATTGTTAATTGGCTTATTTGTTTATGATTAAATAGTTCTGCATGCTATAAAGAATTGGATTTTCTTTCTTTGTGTTTTTCTGTTTTTATTTGTTCGAATAGATCCGAACGTGTTTTGGGTTCCTCAATTTTTTTTTTCCTTTAGATGATGAAGGTCTTAATCTTTGATAAACTCCTTGGGATTATTTCTATATATATTGGTTGATTGAATTGTTATTCATACTATAAATAACTGAAATTTCTATTGTTTGTGCTTTCCTGATCAAGGTGAGGTTTCGGTTCCTTTTTTTTGCCCCCCTCTCTTACTGGAAGTCTTGGTCCCTTCGTGAACTCTCTGTTTCTCTATGGTATAATCTGGAGGGGTTCATTTTTTCTTAAGACTTAGCTTATCTTTTAAGCTTTCAGAATTGCTCATACCGAACAATATAGAAGGCCAGTTTGCTATATATTTACGGAGTTTCATGCTGAATTCTGCTGGTGTTATAGTTTCTGTATTTTTTTATTTTTTAAATCATGGCTTGGAATAATGATATCTTTTCCTGTATTCTTATTATTAAATGAAGAACTACTGCATCTTTAACTCTAACTATCAAATATTGTCTTATTTGGTTTATTAATTTTGTGTACTATTAATTATAATGTCAAATGTTAGTCAGTGAGAATGGGTGAAGCATTTAGTTTGGTTCTTGAGTGGTGGGGTGTGGTGGGTATAATTTGTGCATGCCAGTAAAATTTGTGATGTTCATTGGTTGCATTGGAGAATTGCAATTGCACTGCACCTCCATTATGATCTGCGTTTCTTGTAAATGCCAATCTATGTATAGATGAGTTATCTGTGACTTACCTTAATTTTTTATATTTCAAATAAGATCAGAAAGTGAGATTTACTGTAGTTGTTTAGTGACTGTTGGTGTAGGAAGTTAGGGACTTGCTGGAATTCTGTGCCTTTAATTTTGTGCCCATTAGGGAGTGTAATTAGGCAATGTCGGAAAACTAGATATATAGGCAAAAGTTGATTATTAGTTCCCTTTTTGCATTAAGCAGCGCTTGGAAAATCTTGGGACTATCTGGACTTGTCCCTCTATCTAATGACAATTTAGCCTGTGTTCTTCACCTTCAGTTCTGAAGCATGCTTCACTATGCCCCTGTTTGGGCTCGTTAAAAAGGTATTTTAGAATAGTAATTTTTGGAGAATGTGTTGTTAAAAAATAAGAAAAAGTTTTGGATTTATGTGTAATAATATTTTATTGGAGAATGAGCAATTGAAAAGATGAGCAGGAGCCCAAACAGGGGCTATATGTTGTCCTCAATTTAATGCTATAATTCTAGGAACATTTTTATGAATGTGCACTAAAGTCTAAAATTAAGAAATGAGAGAAGATTGTGGCAGTTATGCATTTCCTCCCAAGTTAGAATTGGAGACCTTTGTGTGTTTTTCAAGCTGACCATTTTTACGATTTCTTTTTTAATTGTTTTTCAGATTATTCTTTCTCCTTTCATCAAGGCTTTAAAATGTAGCTTGGCAAATCTCCTTTTGTCTATGACCATATAATCTGGTTTGAACTGATAGTTGATAATTATTATTTTTTGTTTCTTTATCCAGATCTCAGCTGCTTTTAGGGTTACACAGCATTTGATACAACAGCCAACTTTCATGTCTGATTTTGACATCCAAACTCCAACTGCATTTGGTATGCTGCTTTGTTTTTATCTGAAATATTCTTCTTTATTGATATCCAGACTCTTAATGCTTTTGGGTTGCCATTCTTTTATTCCCTTTGTCTCCTAGAATAGTTATCTGGTCTTCTCATTTTGAATCCTACCTGATGTATAAAAATTATTTGCACGTTAAGTTTACACAATGAGAATATAAGAAGTTGTACAGGTAGAAATAAGTCTGCAGAAGTGACTGTTCCTACTCCCTATTGGGCCAATGGCCTTTTTAGATGTCAGGAATGTAGAATGGAATTACTTCCATCTTGCTTGCAAATGACTAATTTGGGTTTTTATTTATTTATTATTTCTTTGTACGAAGATCCTTTTGCTGATGCAAATGCTGAGAACTCTGATGCTGGGTCAAAAGACTATGTCCACATTCGCGTACAGCAGCGGAATGGTAGGAAAAGCCTGACTACTGTGCAGGGTTTGAAGAAGGAATTCAGCTATAATAAAATACTCAAGGACCTTAAGAAAGAGTTTTGCTGCAATGGTACTGTAGTTCAGGACCCAGAACTAGGCCAGGTTATTCAGCTTCAAGGTGATCAGCGGAAGAACGTCTCAGCCTTTCTTGTTCAGGCTGGGATCGTGAAAAAGGAGCATATCAAAATTCATGGTTTTTGAGCCGTGTCATCTGTTTCTTCCCCAGGAGCCATCAAATTGCTTGTTAGTGCTGAAGGTGTTATGATTTTGAGTTTGCGTTGCAGTATTCTTGTGCTTGTATGATATATATACACACTTCATTTCCAGTACATCTTAGTTCCTAGTATTGTCATGTTATCTTAATAGAATGTTTGTCCATGTTAGTGGACATGCGAAATTATGACATTCGGGATGTGATCTTCATCTATTATCTTCATTTCTTCATCCCTTCCCCAGGCATCCATCGTTCACATGATACGTGGGTTGCTATGAAGATGGTGTTGATTGATTTACCTAGTGTGTTTGTTTCTGGGAATATGCAGATAATATGATTGTAATGAAGGCACACTGTTCTTTTGGATTTTATATATTATAAGCTATTATGAACTATATGGATTATCCGTCTACAAGCATCGCTGGATATACTCGGGTCTCTTTTTATACATTCCATTGCTCGTAAATGTGATTGTTCTGTGCTTTGTAAGATGGCTGTTTCACCCTCGTGCTGATATCCCGCCTTCCTCTTGCTGAGATTAACTGTGGATCTGTGATCGAGCGAATTTGAGCTTTTATCACGATTACACGGTGCATCAGGATTTATTGGCGGCGGGCTTCTTAACTGATACGGTAACACTTCTTTATTGTGGGGGAGCGGTTGAAAACCATTTATTTACAGATTTGCTTCAATAAGCCACGAGCTTTAGTTTTCTTCTCAAGTCATGTCTGTTTAGAATTAACTCTTGACTACCAAAACATGTTAAGAATGCGTCCAGGGTTGTCAATTAAGTTTTAATCATTTGTGATCTTCATTTCATGCTCTTAAGTCGAATGTCTAAATCTTATAATCATGTTCGGCTGGACTGACTTGTCTTGTTTAATTATAAGTGTGTTGTACACACTTATTTAGGCATCAAAACATGGACAATTGATAGTAATTATGTTGGAATATGGCATAATTTTGTATAAATTATGTTTTGTAGGACAACATTGATGAATGTGGCGAAAAATTATGAGAAAATGATCTAAATGAGAGAGAATCAAAATTTAGGAACCAAAGTTTAAATAATGAAAGATGATCGGGGAGCAGAAACGAGGATATCAAAGAATTAGGGACTGATTTGATGAAGACATGGACTGTTGGAAGAACAAGAAATAAGAAAAGAGGTCAAGAGATGAGAAAACGAAGTTAAAAGACTAAAATGTAACTTTTGGAAAGTTAACACTACCATGCAGTTGCGTGGTACTTTCATGCGGTCGCATACATGGTTTCAACAACTTTGAGGGCCAAATTCCTTTTTTAACTATTCTACAGCATTGATTTGTACTATGCTATAGAAAAGTCCGATTTCCTTAATTGATTAAAATTCTTATGGAAACTAATTTTAGAAAGTGTATTAAAACTCTAAGGCCGTCCCTAAACATTCATCACACATTCTAATATATTTCGGAGGATTTTGAGAGCATAGGAGGAAGCAAGAAACACGAAGATTCAAATCAATAATTAATGAGGTGATGTTTCTTCAATATTCTTTTTGTTTTCTTATTTACACCATGCTAACATAGATTTTTATGTACTAAGAGTACGATGAACCATGTAGTATGAGTTTTTAATCTTGAGTTTTACTTGTTTGATATTAAAAACACATTTTTGAGTATTAAATGGTTTGTATGAATTTCTCGTCTCTCTGATTATTATGCAGGGTAATTGTGTAAATATGATGGCTTATTTTATGCCATCGAAAGAAGAAAAATAGTCTCGACATGATATAAATCATCATAGGGTCCGATAGGAAATAGAATTATACCTCTATGCTCTATATAAATCTTTAAGTATTTATAAAAATTAATGCATTCTTGTATATTTGCATCCGTAATAGAGATATAATCGGGTTATATATGATAATAGATTTTACAGCACTCGAGAGAGATTGTTAAATATAATAGGAATATTGATTATTCAATATTCAATTGTGTTTTCAAAGTGTAAAACTAAGGTTAAAAAAGATTATTATATGGGAATTCACGATCCTAGTATGTTTGTTATTCATTAAAGATATTAACTTGCATTTAAACACTACTTGCATCTAATTTAGTTTATTCATTCATAATTGTATACGTAATTTATTTTAATTATAATTTCATCACAACAAACACATTCAACTAAATCAATCATTGTGAGACAATACTTGGACTCACAATCCACTTTATTACTTGTTAATGAATCGTACATGCGGTGATTTAAATTGAAATATATTTTCGCATAACATCTAATATGATTTTCGTAGTTATATTTTGTACTAATATTACTTAACGTTTCTAGATAGGAAGTTTTTACTTCGTGAAAAATCAAATAAGCCCTCGAGTAGTACTTATAATAATGCTTTTAACATCTTTTAATACTTTCTGTTCTAATCTAACTCAACACTAGTATTTCGAATTTTTCAACCTTTCATCTTTCTGTACATCTATATCATGATATGTCTTTGATTGTTCCTTGATTCTTGTCAAGAGACTAGAATCATATGCATCGGACAGGAAAAGTTTGGAGAAGTATTGATTCCGAAAAGTCCGGCTATGAACTTCCAGTCAGCATCAATAGATTATCGTTAGAGAAAGGCAAAGGAGGTCATCTTTTATTTCTGTCAGCGTGCTCAATAACGTAATAATAACAAGAAACGGAGACTGATTGTAAATTTGGAGCCAACTGCATGCATTCTTCTGTTTATTTACCGCTCCTTGCTTACAAATTTCGAGTGCTGCTTAAGAATTGGACAAACTAGTGCTTCTAATTGGATAAATACTTCTCTTGATATTCTTTTAATGCCATTACCCTATTGCAAGATTTGTAAATTCTAGACATGATCAAAAGCAAAGTATAAACTGAGGGAAAAGGTTTACTGAAAAGGCCAGAAAAAGCTCAAGGGCTCATCCCCTTATGCTTTGCACTGTAAGCGAAGAAACCTCAAGAGGAGGAGAAGAATAACAAAAAGAAGCAGAAGCTTCAATTCCACAGTTAAGGCCGTACAAACTTCACCTATAAATACTCTTTACATCCACAATTGTCTTCATCCCAGTAGCTTCATTTGAATCCAATCCTTCAGATTTTGACACGACAACTAATTTATTAGTCCATTGGTCGATTTTCATCAATGGCTCCAACTGTTGTTCTAAGATCAAACGGAAAAGCCCTTCATGTATTGGGAGTTCTTAGTGTTTTGTTACTGATTCAAAGAGGTAATGCTTTTGAATTCAGGGTTGGAGGTCCCAGGGGCAGTTGGACAGTCCCTAATGATCCAAATTCAGCCAGTTACAATCAGTGGGCAGAGATGAACCGGTTTCAGATTGGTGACACCCTATGTAAGTGATGGTTTTATCTCCATTTTTCATTTAGCTAACTAGCTACCCACCAGCAACATTTGGATTTTTTCCCTTCGAATTTGTGGAGCCTACTATACACTTCTGTCCACTACTATGGACGAACGACGACTTCTTAGAGGTTTGTTTTCTGTGACACACTTAGTTAGAGGCGTGAGACTATTATTGTAATCTTGTAACTCAAATTGAGGATGAATCACTATAATACAGCGTGTTTGCTAGTGTTTGTTCGGGATTTCCTTTTTAACTTATTTTGCTTTCGTAATCCTTCACATTTCTATCTTCTGACTTTCATAATTCTTTTGGAAATTGCAGTGTTTGTTTATCCTACTGATAGAGACTCTGTATTACAAGTAACTATGGATGACCACACAAATTGCAATACAGCATCCCCTATTGCAAAATTTTCTGATGGTCACACAGTGTTCAAGTTTGATCAATCAGGACCATATTACTTCATAAGTGGAGTGGCTGAAAACTGTCACAAGAATGAAAAACTGATAGTGGTTGTAATGGCAGATAGAAGCGACCGTTCCAAGCAAACAGTGCCAACTTCATCTCCTCCTTCACCATCAGCTGAGGTACCGGCCCCGTCTCCACCACCTAACTTTGAAGATTCTCCGCCTACCGGGGTGGACTTAAACCCCGTCCCGGCACCCGGTCAGGAGTCTCCGACGAATAATGGTGGTGCTTCAATTGACATGAGTGTGATTGGCTCCATTGGAACTTTTCTTGGTTCATTTATCCTTCTTTTAGTTTCTTGATGTGCACTTGGAATTGAAAATGGTTTCTTTTTATTTTTATTTTTTCTTACGTTAATGAATCTTCTTGTTTGTATTGATTATATACGGTTGAGAAATTAGTCCCGTGGAAACCTGGTACTGGCCAGTGCCATATTTGTGTATAATCTTCAGTGTATAAAAGAAAATAAATTGTCTAATTTTCTTGGATTATATTTTATACATAGTTATTGCATATATGTTTGTCATTAAAGAAGTAATAAAGCTCTTCTAAAAACCTGGGAAAAATATTCAAATGCTCGCAGATAATTTTCCTGGTTCACGGATTTAACATCTTTGAAACAAATAAATTTACCTCATCTCTAACAATTTAAACTTATAGATGAAATGATTCAACTGATATAAGGCCAACAAAAGGCCCAAGGTCAAGTCTTGTTGCCACCTATTTAATCGTGTCCACCTTCAAATATGCACAATAATGGCTAATTATTTCGATTGGCTGATATATTGTATAAAATTTAGTTTTAATAACATCAAATCAACAAGAATTATTTACTTAAACATAAACAGACCTCATATTTATTTTTAATTTCTAAAGAATTGTAGAGTGAAATGACTGGAGCAAACAAAAGAAGCAAGAACAACTAAAATATATAGTAGTTTTTCTCATACTTCCATTGTAGAACTTTGAATAGCAAAATACACACTGATCAACTTCATTTAATACAGCATCTCAAATACAGGATGTTTACAGAACTTGACTTTGTTTATACTCCAACTAATTCTGACTCTCTGTCAGAAGCTTTCGCTCTCATCATGTTGTACATAATTACATGTAATATCCCAACAACCTGAAAGAATGAAAAATGTCGTCTGTCTTGGCTAATATGAAATTGGAACAATAGAAAATTTCTTAATAAAGGCAGAAATGAAATAGAAGTAGAAGTAAAGGGAAACAGAACAAACCGTAGTAACAATTCCAATTATAGCACGAACATTTCTAAAAAAGCGCGAAGAGGACTTCGATTGGTTTATGAAGACCTGATTAGGAAAGAAAGATTTGAAACATATCGGACAAAACGGTGTAAGGCAAGCACGCATGTCATGTTTGGCACTTGGCAAGGAGGATTGTGTAATAATGGACATTATTAAAGAAGAAACACAGGATGCAGCTGCATACAAATATGCACTTAATAAATACCTTCATTTGCGATGGCTCAAAATGAAATTTTGCAACTGGGAAATCAAGACTGTGAACCAAACTACTTCGAGTTGTGTACTCGTATTCCATGAATAATTTATGGGATCTTGTCATAACCTCAGTTTTCACAACTTGGAGATAATGCTCGATCTGCAAACAATGCAATTTATACAAAGATTTATTACAAGATCATAATGAAGCAAATCTTAGAAACTTAAATACGTTAATTATTTCAGCAAATAAATACCTTCATTTGCGATGGCTCAAAATGAAATTTTGCAACTGGGAAATCAAGACTGTGAACCAAACTACTTCGAGTTGTGTACTCGTATTCCATGAATAATTTATGGGATCTTGTCATAACCTCAGTTTTCACAACTTGGAGATAATGCTCGATCTGCAAACAATGCAATTTATACAAAGATTTATTACAAGATCATAATGAAGCAAATCTTAGAAACTTAAATACGTTAATTATTTCAGCAGCATGAACATTCATCAAATGGAGTAACTTCTTAACATGAAATAGAAATTATCTAGTTTCTTAGATATTAAACTAAGCATCTCCTTTCCCATTCCAATTTATAGAGAGTACAAGTCTATTAACTTGAAAGTGAACCGGGTAAATGGGGAAAAAATGGGGGATCAGAATATCTTGATGCAGTGCAATCAAAATTGCAAGTGTAGGTGGATGCTGAAACAGAAAGAATAAAGAATGTGATGATGGTTTAATTTATGCCGACTGACTTAATCATAATTAATTTTCTTAATACTTATAATTATAGTATGTGTTATGGACAAAAATATTGCTGTGTACTAAAGATGGAGTGGACTTAATTTATTTTATTGTATGAGGCTTATGCTTTTCCCTTTCTCATAATGTTTTAGTCAGTCCATTGAATCAAGTAATTCTTGATTGTTGTGGACTTTAAACAGCAAGCTTAGGACATCTTTGATTGTTGTATAAATATAACATTTTCTTGCAAGGCCACGCCTATTCTACTGCATAAGTAAACCATAATGCCTAATGAGATTAGAGAGAACACTTTGGACGCGTCTTATTAATCTCCCTGTTCACATAATTATCTCTCTGAATTTGTGCAGTAGGAGTCACTGACATAAAGTTAACGAACATCATGAGATGTGCGGTTTTCAAACTTTACACAAGCTACAATAGGAAAATAGATTAATGATCTGAGGAGATGTTGATGTTATTAGCTATAGATCATTCTCTTTAATTATTATTGAGTTATAACACTATTTTCAACATATGAATAAGGCACGGAAGGGTAAAGAGACACGAAACTTACAGTGATATTTGCATATGAATCACTTGGATTACTGATATATGACTTGCCATTCAACCTCGACCAGTCATGGCTTCCACCAATATATGGCAACATTCGTGTCATGTCTATCATTACCCTCCGAGAGTTCTTTTTACCAAAAGAAAAATGGGAAATAACGTGTGACATGTTCAATTGCGAAGCATCAAAAGAATGAGAAGCTGAACTAGCTGATATGATAAGATTTCCAGGGACCTGCAAAGTACGTGGCATTCTAAAGATCATATATTAAGCATAAAAAAAAGTTATATGGATATTTTTTCAAAGATGGGGATCATGCATGTACACTGCACTTCGAAGGAACACATCTCAAGATAACGCAAATGTTACCTTCTTCACATCCAATGAACCCTCAATTCTACATCCTCCAGTTAAAAGTGCAGGCTTTTTTGCATCATCTTTGGTTTTGGCAGGCAAGCTATCTGAAGCAACCTTTTGCAACTGCAAAGAAACGGGTGCAACCAAATTCTCCATTGCCTGTAAGGATCAAACTCCTTTCACAGTCTTATAAAAGGCTAAAAATTAAGGTCCAATTATATTCAACAGATGTTCACTTCCTACTCCCTATCTATTTCCTTATTTCATAATTTTGTAATACCTTTCAAAATAATTTCTCAAGAAGTAGGCACATGCTGACCTTAACTAGGCTATTTGTATCTCGATCTCCATAATATGATTCATGACATTGGTGCCAACCATTATCATCACATTCATCTCTGTCAAAAATAGCATCAATAAAAGTGGTGAATTGAATTACAATTATGAGATATAAGCTGACTACAGGCAAAACATGCAAAATGAATTTGTAAAAAGGGACCATATAAATTTGTATTATACCCATAGTAGAAACAGATATAAATAGTGACTCGTAAAAGGTGTCGTTGTTTGAAACATTACAAGAACTCAATTGATAAAATTTCATCTCCAAGGCATGCAAATTATCACTCTCCTTGAGAACACGCTAATGCGCAAACAGGTTTCCAGCAAATCTTAGGATATAATGGAGTCGAGATACAATGTTAACTATCAACGGAAAAGAGATATATTTACAGTAAGAGATATAAGCTGACAGCAGTCAAATGCTTCTTTTTTCGACGGAAAAGAGTAAATCTCAGAATGAATGTAAAAGGCAGATCCAGCTGCTAATGGGTAACCAGATAAATCAAGAATTTATCCCTTTTTCCTGTGCCCAGGAGGTTTGGGGGTTACAGTTATGCAATATGATATGGTATCAAGTTCCAATGATTGTGACTTTGATAAAGAGACACACACAGAAAGTGCAAGTCCAAAAGTAAAGCAAATTTTCAGCTTGATTTCACCTCATGCCCCTTTAAAGTCAGGCAAATGCTTAATTTTATATGTATATATCTATAATTGAGCAAAGTAAACGATGATAGACATTCCTCAAGTACGCATCAAATCTGAAAGCCTTGCAGAAAGCTTTTATTAAGGAACGACAAAAAAATCAATTACCTATCACTTCCATTGCGGAAGATGCGGATAGATGGATACCCATTTATGTGATGCCTGAACATTCATTAGAAATAAACAATTAAGGAAGAAAAGATATGTTATGCGATCAAATTATCAAAAGATGGCCAACATAAATAAATTCCTGAAATTATACTGCACACAATCCAAATTCATGACCAATGGTACAGCATCCCCAAGGGCTAGGCATACTTTTTACACGTCAGTGGAATCTTTATGCTCAAAACCCTGATTCAAGTAGTCATTCATTTGGGACCTCTCTAGGTTTGATACCAATAATGGCAGTCGTTTCAGTATGTTAAGGATATATTTGTATCCACGATTGAAAATTCATAATCTTCCCTCCCACAAAATATTTGGAAAGAATACTTCATACCAAAATTAGAACATAGTGAACAACAATCGGACTGGAAACATTACACTTTTACAGTAGACGTATTGCGTAAATAGGAAAATATTTATCAGTTATCCTGCTGGATGATAGTATATTATGCAGGCAAAAGCTTTATCTAGAAGTACCTTCTACATAACTCCGTTTCTACAGTGCAATCAACCATTCCCATAAGAATTCGACCGTCAATTTCTGGGTCATATCTGGAAACAAAGTTGTACATAAGCTTTGAAATGGAATGATATCATAATGATAGTGTCCAACTTCCATTCAAGAAAGCATAAAAAATTAAAAGATTTGGTTTGACCTTTCTCTTATAGTTTTGGCTGCTTTCGCCCATGAAGGTTCCTGAACAAACATGGGATAGAAGTGTTAGATAATCTACAGCTCCTCAGTATTCTCATTCATACCCAAAATGAATATTAAAAATGGATGGAAATTGAGAAATCAATTCAAAGCCTGTTAACGTTCGTAAGGATTCAGAATACCAGGCGCTGGCTCCAATAGCACCAAGGTGCATAGAATTTTACTACCAAAATAGGATGCCTGCCAAATATATATTTTGAACAGATTATCAACCTGCTATGTGAGAAAAGGCAATGCAAAATAGAGATTTTGAAGTCATGTAAGATGAACATACTGAAGTGAAATTTTGTCGAAGTTATGTGCGTTGAGTGAAGGAGAAACTTGCTCATCGTAATTAATTCCTTCAGCTAAGTGAAACTCGGAGCCAGTAGGCTTTAAATTTGAATCTATGGGGGTACTTGTGAACCACTTTATTTATGTCCAACGTATTCTGCGAAAAGAGGGCAAAAATTCAATTACATACAAAATGCATATATAACCTAAGAATAAAATATGACAAATAACATTGCAGAAACATATTAGTTAAGGACAAATTTCTTGTTTTCCTCTACAGATATACAAGAAAGAGAATTTGTTCAAGAAACAAATGTTTGAGGGGATTTATTATGGCCCTCAAGAACATAACTTTATCACATACTTTAAGAAACATACTGTTTTTGGGTTTTATTATTTTGGACTTTTAAATTTGGGTTTGTATTTGGGCCTAACCCAAGCCCATAACTTTTATCCATAAGTGATGTATTTGAAGTGAAAGACAGATAAGATGAAAAATTAACAGGCTTTAGTGCCCTATCTCACATGCCCCTCTTGGTACTTTCTTCTTCCTTTCTTTTACTTTTCTTCGCTTCTTCCTCTTCCTTTACATGTCTTCTAGGTCCTCCTCTTCTTCTGTATCTATTCTATTTCTTCTGTTGCAACTCAATCTATTCTACATCAAAGTGGTATCGGAGCTAAACTTGATGGAAATACATCGACTCCTATAGCCACTGCTCTATTTGCTATAACTTCCACCAAGATTATGTGAAGAGAATAAACTAAACAATATACCCATACACACAGCCCCTGCAATTCCCCCAACAGTGTCACCAAAGGTCTGTTATATATATATATATATATATATATACACACACACACACACACCCCAAAGCACACTCCAAACGCTGTCGCACCTTCCCTGTCACCGTTTGCCCTTATCACACACCTAGTTACCTGCAATTGTACCACCACTTAACCAATACAACCTCTAACAACTTCTACCCCCACTATAATCTTCACCAATCGAGCAGCCCACCTCTTGCTGACGCTGATTTCCACAGAAATCAACAGCCTAGTATCTGCAGACACGATCCACTTCGTAGTCTTGGGCTTCCATTGTTAATATTTGCATTTGGGCTCAGTTATTGTCATGTTTTCTTTATATGTAAATTAGCTTGATTTTGTAAGTAAAAAAAATTAAATTAAATTAAATTTAAAAAAAAAGGGGAACAAAAGAAAAGAGAAAAGTGAAAAAAAAAAAGTGAAAAAAATGTATTTTCTAACATCGTTTTGCA